AGGAAGGAAGGAAGGAAGGAAGGAAGGAAGGAAGGAAGGAAGGAAGGAAGGAAGGAAGGAAGGAAGGAAGGAAGGAAATCTACATTTTAGAATAAAGTACTAACAGCTAATCAAATTTATAATTGTTTTCTTGGTAAGCGCTAGAAAAGAAAATCTATTTAGTTCGTACCAGTGTCTCAGTTCTAATACCACAGGGAAAGAATCTTTACCAAAACAAAGAGATACAATAAAAGTAGAAGGCTTACTTGGTCACGACCAGCCTGTTTTTCCTCATGCTCTCAACACCTGGTTTTTCCCTTTCAGGTTCCCCTTTCTTGCCAGTCTGTTTTTTTGACTTCTTATTCACTGCCTGACTGATGGTTTTGGCACAATGCTTAGGCAGTAACTGAAATTGAGTAAGAATGACATTATACTGTTGCACCAATTTTTTAGAATGTATAAATGAATGCAGGACACCTTAGCTGAGTCTGAACAAGCAAGCAGGACAGAAATGTAAGGAGTATCTAGCTCACAAGGCCTACAGAGCATAGAAAAAAAGTAGAAACCTATTAAAGTATCAAGTTATTATTCAAAAGATAAATAAAAACATACAAGGCAAGTATGGGGTGAGAGATATAACAGTCACTACAATTATGTAAATGGCCTATAAAAAAGAAACAAAATCTGTTCAGGATCTAGTGGGCATATTATGTAGTGGGCATAAAGTACAAAGTAAAGTACTAGTTCCAGCTGTCAAGAGGGTCCTGAGAATGAAGCCAGGTGAGGTTTTACATTGCAAGCAATCCTGAACACAGGCAGTTTTTACAAATGGAGCCATAGTATGAAAGGATATTTCCTAAGGCTCATTCTAACACTGACTGAAGAAACATTTAAAACAAGAAAAAAATTAAACAAAGACAACCAAATAAGCTGTGGAGAAAGGGTATAAAATAAGACAAGACAGATACAAAAACAAAACAAACAAACAAACAAAAACCCAGATTTGAGAAAGATTTAGTAATCTAGATATATATATGGGGTGGGGGAGGTTTCTACCTAGTACAATGCTAATACCACTATTACAAAACTCAAGTCCAACTAGTAATAATTCAGTTTGATAGATAACATCAAGCAAAAAGAAATGAGAAGGTGGATGAGGGCTGTACTATACAGCAGAGTTGCCTTATGCCACTTATATACTCAAAACGTACCTATCCAATCAATGTCCAATAAGTAAAAAAAATCAGATTTAAAAAATTTAGTACAAAGTATAAAACATTTTATGATTAGATGCTAAAATAATGAAAAATTTAGATATATCGCAATAAGTAAAACTAATTAACTTTCCTTATTCTTTTTTTTTTTATATTTTTAACAAGGTTACTAGAAACATTTAAATTACCCATGTGGCTCACACCTCTCTGCTGGCCAGCGGTGGCCTGAAAGCAATTTAGTCATTAGATATGTACAGTAACTAACTAAAGACATGGGAATGTGTGAGGAGAAATGTATGTTGTCATGGAGTATCTTCTTTTAAAAAAGAGGAAAAATGAAATGTTTAAGGAACTCGTCATTGTTACGAAATTAAAAATCAGATGTTAAGTCTAATTCACAAACAACCTGCTGCAGTACAAACCCAAACCTATCAACAACCCTGACCATAAAATCAAATCTCTAACATCCAAAATTCCACCCCAATAAAACCTAGCAGGAATCTGAAGCTCAGTGTCCCCTCAGGAACAGACAGAGCAAACAGGGAATCTGAGACCCTAAGATAAGGCCCTATTGGGGTTCGGGATTTAGCTCAGTGGCCCTGGGTTTGGTCCTCAGCTCCGGAAAAAAATAAAAAGAAGGAAGGTAGGAGGGAGGGAGGGAGGAAGGAAGG